CCCCTCTCTCTCCCCCTCCCCCTGAGCTTCTAGGCATTGATAACCTAGGGCAGCAACTAATACATTTTGTGATGTTTTCTAAAGAAAGCTAGTAGCTGTTCTCTATAGGATTTTTGGACAGGAAGTCCAGCGTGTCCTTTCTTTAACACATCCTGTCTAAATATTTTCACAAGTCACATGACTTACCGAAAACCCTTTTTTCAGAGCGCGTTGGGTGGCCGGCCATGTGACCTAATGCCTAGGTATTGGTAGCATATTCTTAACAGAAGGGGCTTTGGGCCATGTGACATTTTCTAAACTCTCCTCGCCAGCTCCTATGATGTCACTCTGTCCGTCGCTCCCCTATTAGCGGTTAGGATTGTGCAATGATTGGGCCGGCGAGGAAGTGATGTCCAATAGGAAAAGTGGTGGTCACATTTCAGTTACTTTTACCGCCAAGACATCGCCGGCAGCAAAATCACCAATGTGAGTTGACCATTAGGCCGCATTGCACAGGGATTGCGGCACCGGAACGGGTCCTGCCGAGGGGGGTCACATGCCTCCCCGCCTGTCCCTATCTGCCCGTCTGTGCTTCCCAATACTCCAAGGCTGCTGAATTCACTTCTTTGTTTCACTTAGGTTGAGGACCCAGAAAATTCCCTTCTGAGTGAAGAGGAGGTAGACGATGACCCACACCGACTCTCCGCCTCCAGGTATTTGTCTTCATCTGACATGCGCGGTGGGCGTGTCTGATTCCTAAATGCGCCATGTGACTTCCTCTCTCCACCTGATGCATCACCAATCATATTAAAACCCCTCCGAAAGCAGGTCTGCATTGGATTGGTGACCGTCTAGTAGATGTGTCTGGGTGCTGGACAGGTAATGATCAAGAGTTGATCTTTTAGGTCCTTTTCCTTGTTTGGAATGCTCTCCTGTGCGGGTGGTGATGTGTGAGGAACCATTTTTAGGTCCCAGTCTGCTCAAGTCCCGGTAACAGTGGCGGTGTCCTCAATCACATGTTCAATGTCTGGTAATGTGATCAGAAGTGCCTAATACTAATAGCCATACGACCAGGCCATTCATTTGACCGTTATTGGTTAGGGAAGCAAGGTATAGCCAGGCCCGGCGCTACCGCAAGGCAAGTCAGGCGGCCGCCTGAGGGCGCTGCAGGGTGAGGGAGGAAAATACAGGGCATTTTGACAAGTACTTGTACTTGCCAAAATGCCCCGATGCTTGCGCTATGTTTTGGGTTTTTTTTCCACTTACCTTCGTTGCGGGAGAGCAGCGGCGAGTCAGCGGTGGTCCGGTGGGAGGAGCTCCAGGTGGGGTCTTAATTTAGCTGGCCGGCGACTGCCAGAGGATCCCGACACGCGCGGCACCTCTGGAGCTCCTCCCACCGG